GGAGTTCGAGACCAGCCTGAGCAAGAGCGAGACCCCGTCTCTACTAAAAATAGAAAGAAATTAGCTGGACAACTAAAAATATATAGCAAAAAAATTAACCGGGCATGGTGGCGCATGCCTGTAGTCCCAGCTACTCGGGAGGCTGAGGCAGGAGGATCACTTGAGCCCAGGAGCTTGAGGTTGCTGTGATCTAGGCTGACACCACGGCATTCTAGTCCGGGCAAGAGAGTGAGACTCTATCTCAAAATAAATAAATAAATAAATAACATAACATAACATAAATAAAATAAAATAACAGAGAGAAAAGAGTCATGTTCACAATTTTAGGGACTAGGAAAAAAATATATTTTTTGCTTTTCTTTAATGTTTATAAATACAGTGAAAAACAGCTAAAAATTTATACTCAAATGTTATGTGCTAGTCTGATTTGCTCTAGTGCTTACGAAAATCAAGTCCTTTCATTGTCTAGAGATCCAGCAGCAAGAGACAAGAATAAAGGCAGTATCACAATGGTGACAAGTAGAATCCTGATTTGGACAAGCTGAGTTTAAACTGTGCCAGCACCCTCTCCTCTCCAAGCCTTTTTCATTTGTCACATGTGGATGATAACAGTACATATATTCAGTACACAGAATTCAGTACACGGAATTATTACAAGGGTACATAAGATATCTGTACATTTCAAGATCTGTAACACATATTTATTTATATTACCTATAAGATAATGTACCCAAGTACTTAGTACACTGCCTGGCTGATGGGTAAATAATACCTATTATTATAATTGCCAATATTAGAAAAGGATGAAAATGACAAATATCACCAGAACCAAAGCAAATTCTACAAGTTTGATTTTAGAAAAATATACATCATAGGTTTATATACATCCATCACATACACATTCACACATATACATTGTCGCCTACACAAGACCGCTCTGAGGTCATCTTTCCAACCACACTACAACAGAGGACCCACCTGACACACCAGAGAAGCTGTGGTGGTTTTGCCAACACCTGGAGGGCCTGAGAGTAACGCTGCTTTAAAGCTAGAGCCATCATCTTTGCCGGCAAGTTTACCAAACTTTGCTGCTAGGAAAAAAGAGGTTCCAGAGTGTTAACCTGCATCACCTAAAAGAAATTCAGGAATAGTTGTGCACAAACTTCACATGGAAAGCAGTCCTCCAATTTGATTCTAAATTTGCAGAATATTTTCTGTAAAGTATTAACAGTTTCCAGAGTATTTACTGAAATTCTACTCCCTACCTTACCCCTACCCAAAATAAGAAACTAAAACTAATTCACTTTAAAGCTCTGCATTTGAAACAATAATTTTATGAGTTTTCCTTCCTCCAAATCCACATGCTACAGAGCACGCGGCCTGGACTCTGATCCTAACTCCATCCACCTAACTCCACCTCTCGCCAGCTGGGAGCACTTCAGAAGTAAGTGACTTAACCCCTCTGTGCCTATCCCCTCCTTCTCAAAACGAGGACTACAGTAGTAAAGCGGCTGGCAGGGATGTCGTGAGGACAGAAGTGCTGAACACAGAGCCTGACGTGCCTCAGCAAGCGTTAGCAAGTATAATCAGCTACGTGGTCACAAAAAGAAATAAGGATTTGAAGATGCTGTGTCTGTAACTATCTTGCACCACTCAATACTAGAATACTCTTTCTCCCTTCACCACATCGGTACCTGGCACATAAATCATGCTCAATGCATACTCAATAACTCAGAGAGATATGGTTAAACCTCTTGCCAAGAGGGAACTGAAGACTTAAAAGAAGTCTTTTCCACACCTGGGCAACACAGTAAGACCCCGTTCTCTATAAATAAAAAAAGTAGCCAGGTATGGTGACACATGCCTGTAGTCCCGACCACTTGGGAGGCTGAGGCAGGAGCATCACTTGAGCCCAGGCGTTCAAGGCTGCTATGATGATGCCACTGAATGCCAGTTAAGACAACAGAGTGAGATCCTGTCTCTTAAAAAAAAAAAAATTTTTCTTTTTTCATTTAAAAAGTCTTCTCTAGGCACATGAAACACTTGGCCCCCCACCCCCTGCCTTTTAAGGTAGATTTTTCGGTGGTTTCAGAAAGAGAAAAAAATATAAATTTAAAAATTTTAAATTTAACCTGTATCATCACAATTTTATTATCTAACTATTATAAATAAACTGACATCATCGGCAAGGTCTAGCAACCACCCACATATTAATAACCCAGTTATCACTGTGGGGATTCACCGTGATGCTGGCTAAATTCTGCCTTTATTTGTTCTACGCCATCCCCCAGGGCTGCAGTTGAAGCTTAAGAAAACACTAACATTTGTGATCTGAAAGCTCAGTTCCACAAATACTTTGGATATTAAATCTATATTAGGCATTTCGTTTTCCATGACAAATACATAGTAAACAAGCACAGAAACTACAGAAGCACAGGCCCATCAGGGCTATAAAAAGCAAATGGCACAAGCCACTAGGGTGTTAGGCTGACTGCTCTGTGCACATGCCTCAGTCTTTATTCACACCTTTCCCTGCAGTGCCCTTGGCACTCCCAGTGGTCTTGTTCTCACATGTCTTCAGACCCTGAGATGTGTTCTCTTTCCCACCCAACTCCACCGCTTCTTCACCTGGCTGCCTCCTACTTGGTCTCCATCCTTCCCGCAGGGATGGGCACTCACATCCCCACTCGTGACCACGTGCCTCCACCCCTGCAGCTCCCTGTACTTACCCTAGAGCAGAACAATACATTTTAACGGCTGGTTCAGATATGTCTCCCCACTGCCTGGGAGCTCCTGAAAGGGACTGAGTTTTGTTCACAACAGCACCACCAGGGTCTGGTACAGCACCTGGGCTCAGACCAAGCTCTTAATAAATGCTTGCTGATGGAAGAATGAACTAACCATTAGACTTTCTCACATACGTGCAATTGAGCAATTACATGACGAAAGACACACACACACAAAAATAAGTGAGGTTCTAAAATTACCATGTTTTTTATCTTCTGAAGAACTCTCGTGCCAGTTTCGGAGCCAGCGTAGGAGTTTGTTGGCACAGCTCTGGTCTCCTTGTTGTCCAATAATGGTCTTAAGCGATGTGGGCTTATATTTATCCACCCAGAGCAAATTTTCCACTTTGTTTTCACTGCGACCATCAGCCAAATCCCTGGCCTTGCTGTCACCATTGACCTCCTCGGCCACCTGCTCCTTAAAGTCCAGGCCTCTCCTAAACACACTTGTTTCCTTTTGTATTGACTTTATGGAACTGTCCCTTTTGGGCGTCAGCTTGCTCTTTTTAGATTCTGATTCCTTTTTAGTTGGACTAATTTTTCTTTTTCCTTGGTCATTTTTTTGAGGTGTTTTCTCCAATTTGGACTTTTCTTTCTTCATCTTAAAAAGTGGTAAAGTGAGAGAAACCTGATGAGACATACAGAATTTCTATCCTGCTAACCATACTCCAGAGAGCAGTCTGAGTCAGCAGAGTGAGCCACTCAACCTGCCTCAGCCTTTTCACAACGGATCCTGCTGTTTATGTAAATCACCTCCTTCAAAACTCTAAAAATTAGCAACACACACCAAAAAGCACCCAAATGTAATTTTTAAGTGAGAGCATATTATTTTTTAAAGTAATAAGTATTCCAATTTTACTTTTAAAAAATGGAGGAAATGGTTACGAGATTTTTATTTCAAAGCTTCCTGGTTAGTTAAAGGTTAATGCCTCCACAAAAACTTGTATACAAAGGTTCACAGCAGTTATATAGATTGAAATAACCAAAACATCCATCACCTGAAGAATGGCTAAACAAAATGGGGTATAGCTATACAATGGAATATTATTCACTCATAACAAAGAGTGAGGTACTGATACATGCTACAACATAGGTGAACCTTGAAACCATTATGTTAAGTGAAAGAAACCAGACACAAAACGCCGCAAAAAAAAATGTCCCAAATAGGCAAATCCACAGAGACATAAGTAAATGCCAGGGGGCAGGTCTGGTGATGAGTGACTGCTAATGGGTACAGAGTTTCTTTTGGGGGTGATGAAAACATTCTGGCATTAGATAGTGGTGATGATTGCACATTCCTGTTAATATACTAAAACCACTGACTTACACACTTTAAAGGGGTGAATTTGATGGTATATAAATATCTCAATTTTTTAAAAAGTTAGTGCCTCTTTACCATTGGATGCTAAAATTAGTGGATGAATATTTGAGGAGAAACAGGATATTAAAATAGTCTTAAAAGTATCTCCCCAAGATAGTTACCAACTAGAAAGGGGAAAATAGTCACATTACCAGTAGGAACCTAGCAGACATCATCTTAACAAAATAACCAAGGTTATCATCACCAATAATAAAACGTATTGACATTATGTACAATTTATATGATGTACTAAGAAGGATACACTATCACTTCTGTGGTGTTCTTGCCAAAAATGTATAACCTCAATCTAGTCATGAAAAAATATCACAGAACCAAATAGAGACATTCTACAAAACTGACTGGTACTCATCAAGAATATCAAGGTCATAGAAGACAAGGAAAGACTGAATAACTATTATAGACTGGAGCAGACTAAGAAGACACAGCAACTAAATGCAGTGTGGGATCCTGGAACAGAAAAAGAACAACAGGGGAAAATGTGAAGTTCAAATAATATGTGTAGTTTGGTTAACGATATGGTAGTGTTGTTAATTTCCTGGTTTTTATAACTATGCTACAGTATGTAATCCAAATCGTTCCCTAGGATTTCTCTAACTGGAATAAACTGAGTGGGCCATACTGCCACCTGTGTGACTGGGAACATTAATTTGGGATGCTGGCACTCCTGTGCCCTGCATGTAGAAAAGGCTGTTACATAGTAAAAGGATGCTAACACTATGAAAAACAGAAAGACAGAAACCGAAAGGGTCCTCAAAGCACGGCAATCTCTGGATCCAATAGTTCCCAGACTAGACCCACCCTGCCCATAGTTTAGTTATGTGAGCCGACATTTTTCCCTTTTGCTAAAGCTAACGTAGGACAAGTTTCTGTCATGACTGAAAAAGTCCTAATATAGTCCTAATTGAAATGAATTTATCATGCTGATACCTGTTAACATATCCTTTAAGGAACTCTTAAACAATAACTTTTACATGAAGTCAACACAAGAATATGGAAAATAGGCCGGGGTTGGTAGCTCATGCCTATAATCCTAGTACTTTGGGAGGCCAAGGCGAGAGAATCGATTGAGGCCAGGAATTAAAGACCAGCCTGAGCAACATAGTGAGACCCTGACTCTACAAAAAAACAGAAAATTAGCTGGGTATGGTGGCGCACCCCTGTAGTCCCAGCTACTTGGGAGGCTGAAGTGGGAGGATCACTTGAGCCCAGAAGTTTTGGGTTGCAGTGAGCTACTATAATGACGCCACTGTACTCTAGCCCAGGCAACTGAATGAAACCGTCTCAAGGGAAGAAAAAAAGATATGGAGAATAAGGAAAGTTTAATAAGTAAATATGTTATATGAAATACACCATCCTCTTTCTTTATATTCCTTTGCAAAATGTAAGGAAATACACCAAAGTAGACATCCTGAAGCAGAGTCCTTCAGCTCAAAGAGAAATAAGGTAGTCTGTGGTAAAAAGGGAGGTTAATCTTTCAGCCAACTGGCCTATATCCACCCAAGATAAGTCTCTATAAAATAGAAAAGTTTCTCTACACCAACTTAAATAAATCAAGTTCTTCTTTTTTTTTTTTTTTTTAACAGACAGGGTCTTGCTCTGTCGTCGAGGCTGGAGTGCAGTGGTGCGATCATAGCTCACTGCAACCTCAAACTCCTGGCCTGAAGCAATCCTCCTGGCTCAGCCTCCCAAGTAGCTAGGACTACAGGTGCATGCCACCATACCCAGCTAATTTTTCAAAACTTTTTGGAGAGATGGGGTCTGGCTTGTTGCCCAGGCTGGTCTTGAACTCCTGGCCTCAAGCAATCCTCCTCCGTTGGTCTCCCAAAGTGCTGGGATTATAGACATGACCCACCACTTCTGACCTAAATCAAGTGCATTTTATACAAACCTCAGCTTCAACTGCTATTTCATACTTGGACTTCTTGCCTGGCATAGTTCGAATCAGATTTAATAGGCCATCTTCATCGATAATTTTTGTCCCCAAGGCTGCTGCCTGTTGATTAAAAATGCAAATCATCAAAACTGCATCCTAACAATTCCTTTCTGTTAAAAAAAAAAAAAAATGATTCTAGGGCCTATTAGTAGGTGAAAAAAAAACACACACATTTTTAAATTAGATAGCACTGGAATAAAAAAAAAACAAACCCAAACATTCATTGAAAAGCACCATTAAAAAGAAGTAAATAAAAGATATACTTCCTAAGAGTGGTGAAGTGTCACATTACTATTTTTGTGGACTGCTATACCTTTCCTCCCCTAGAAATGGGCAAAGCCACTAGGCCTTAAGTACAGCTCTGCACACCCTCTCCCATGTTTGACTCATACAGCAGACATTTCCTACCACCTTCTTCCCTGCTAACAGAACTCCAATGTGTCCATCTGTAAGTGATGGGTGGCAACTGGTCTAAGGCGCTCAGAAAGTCCTGATCCTCCCGCAACCTCCCCTGCAGCTCTGAATGGCCATGTGACACCTCTGGCCAATGAGACTTAAGTAGAATTCTACAAGAGGTGTTTCTAAGAGAACTCCAGTCAGGCCAGTCACAGCTATTATGACATCTTGCCCCTGTACCCTTTTTCCTGCCTTGAATGAGACTTAAATGCCTAGAGTGGCAGCTACCTTGTAGCCACAAGGCAACATGCAAAAGGACAAAAGCTAACGCAATAAGGATAACAGAGGTGAAGGCTGGAGAGCTAGCCTAGCTCCATTATTGAGCTATGAACCATCCCCAGCAACTGCCCACCTCTGGAATTCTTGTTAGATGAAGAAAATAAGCAGGTATTTGTTTAAACCACTCTTAGCTGGGTATTCTGTTACTTGGAGCTAAACATAATCCTAACCAACAGACCTCTGACTCTTAAGAGCTTCTAAAAAGAAAAAACTTAAGTATACAGTGTCATATACAGAATACTTAGGACTAGAAAAATAGACAACTGCATTTGTTTCTATCTTCCAAAAAAAAAAAAAGATTTAAACTAGAATACACTAAGAAAAGTCAAGTAAACTGGAACTGCGCCTTCAACTGGACGACCAAAACCCCGGGGCTGAAGCCAACACCACTTCTGTGGAGAAGAAATAACGTGGGGAAGAAATTGCTTTTCCATGTTTTTCTTAGCTCTGTGGAAAGGACAATGCCACAGCCACATCAGGGGCATGCCGAGGCAAGCAGGTGCCACCACGCTGAGAGCACGGCAGGACCCACCTTGTCACTCTTGGACTGTCCACTATCGCGGCCCATGACAAGGTAGTTTGTTTTCTTGCTGACATTTCCTGTTACTTTTCCCCCATAACGTTCAATTAGAGACTTGGCTTCATCTCGCTCAATGGATTCCAGCACGCCTGTGATTACAAATGTGAGGCCTTCCAGGCAATTTTCAGCTCCCTAAAAACCGAAATGTTCAAGCAGAGAGGAAATTACATAGTAGCTTTCCAAAGAAATATTTGACATCAAAATTGCAGAAAGCTGATTTTTCTCATTTGACATCATAAATAACCTCAGCACAAAAAGTTTGCTGGATAGTTACGGCCAATAAGCAGAACCTGAGATTAAATCCTGAGAAATTCTTACGTTGCTAACATTTAATAAACTTATAAAATGAGCAACAAAAAGCATATAGCCAATATTGTTAGCAAAGCTCATTAAAATTGCCTGTTCATGCTATTTTCCATTATGCTTTTTATATTTAAACTGCTAGTTAACTTGCATAACTTTAAGTTAACAACCAAAGGCACCTATAGAAACTCTTGCCATTAAAGTCTTGATTCTAAGAGGATTAGCAAGTTTGAGCTCTTGTCCTCCTCTCTGCTGATTATTCTCTGATAGGAAATCTAACAACCTGCTAGCTAATAATTTAAAGGCAAGATATTATCCCCCGATCAGAAATATAACTCTGATAATACAAGAGACACTGGCCAGAAAGTGAATGGAGCAGACGTTCAACCTTAATTGGAATTATACACAGACTTTTTTGTCTTTGCAATGGTTTGATAAAATTATACAACGAAGCAAAATGAAAATAAAAATTATATATGATATCCCAAGTTACTCATTACTCTTTGAATCAAGAACTGAAATCAACACAGACTTAAAACAGGCTTGAAAAGCAGCAGCTAAATAAAATTCAAAGATTGACCCAACACAAGTTCAATCCCTCACCATCTAGGTGAAGAATTTTTCTTGGAAGACAAAAAGAAATAACTATGAATCTGCTTGAGAAGAGAAGGTTTCACCAACATCATCTCGAGGTCACTTCAGGCTCTGCAGTTCTCCGATTGAAATGATCTACAGTAACATTACAAGTACTTAAATTCTTCTCAACAAATTCAAAGTAACCCTGGAAAACTACACACTCAAGCCCCCATATCTCACAACCCGATCATCTACTATCTCCCAAATTATCACCCACCATGACTGAGTATCTTTTCACTTCCCCTATCTCAGCACTTCCAGCCTCACTACCCACTCTACATCCCATTAATAGAACTTCCCCACAGCACTTACTCCAAGAGCAGCAAACTACCCAACATCCTCAACCTCTTCTCCAATATTCCCACCACAGCCTTGCCTTCACTGAAACTGGGCTGTCCCGTAAGGACACCACTTTGCCTGAAGTCCTCTCAACTAGAACTTGTTCAGTCTTTCACACACATGCACAAGCAGCAAGGGTGGCATCTTCCTCTGCCTCCTATAAGACGACCCATGAGCCCCCTGCAGTTCATCACCTCCCCCACATCCCCCACCCCGTCCCAGCTCCACCATCCTCTCCCTCTCTTTGTTAGGGGAACTACTAATCTCCATATGCAGTTATGTATACCAAGCAAACTAAAAATAAAATTAGTTTATACATTGTACATGTATCCCCTCCCCTCTCACCTTCTCAGAAATTTCATACTACATTTGATTATCCTTCTCTGTCTGGTACATCTTCAATCTCTCGCTTTCTGCTAGGATCTATCCCATCAGCAAAAGGCATACTTTAAGTATCTTCTACCATTAAAATACCCACATTTTGCCCCCAAATCCCACCTTCTACTTCTAGTTAGAAGTCCTCTCTCTTGTCCCCTTCACACCCAAACTTATCAAAAATATTACCTACTTCTACTGTCTCCATTTCGTCTATTCACACTCACTCTTCGACCCACTTCCACCAAGCTCTGCCTCCACCACTCTATTTAAACTGCTCTTGCTAAGGTCACTAAGGAGCATTATTCATGTTACTAAATGCAATGGAGGCTGGGGGCACAGCATCTCATGCCTGTAATCCCAGGGCTTTGGGAAGCCAAGGTGGAAGGATCACTTGAGGTCTGGAGTTTGAGACCAGCCTGGACAACATAGCAAGACGCAGTCTCTAAAAAAAAATGAGCTGGACATGGTAGTGCACGCCTGTACTCCTAGCTACTCAGGAGGCTGGGGAGGAAAGATCACTTGAGCTGAAGAGTTCAAGACTGCACTGAGCTCTGATCATGTCACTGCACCCAGCCTAGGGCAACAGAGCAGGACTCTGTCTCAAAAAAAAAATTTAATTGAATTAAATTTACATTTAAATTAAAAATAAATACAATGGGCAATTTTCTGTCTCCCCTTACCTGGAATCTTAACAGCATGACAAACTTAACCAATCATTTTAAAAATGTTCTCCCTGGCTGGGCACGGTGGCTCACTCCTGTAATCCTAGCACTCTGGGAGGCCGAGGCGGATTGTTTGAGCTCAGGAGTTCGAGACCAGCCTGAGCAAGAGTGAGACCCTGTCTCTACTAAAAAAATAAAAAGAAATTATCTGGACAACTAAAAATATATATAAAAAATTAGCCAGGCATGGTGGCGCATGCCTGTAGTCCCAGCTACTCGGGAGGCTGAGGCAGAAGGATCGCTTGAGCCCAGGAGTGTGATGTTGCTGTGAGCTGGGCTAACACCACGGCACTCACTCTAGCCAGGGCAACACAGTGAGACTTTGTCTCAAAAAAAAAAAAATGTTCTCCCTTCCCTTTGCTTCTGTGATAACAACTTTATCAGACTTCTCCCCCACATTGTGGCTGCTGCTTCTCAGTCTCCTTTTGGTTTTCATCCACCTCTACTTCACAAAGAAGCAGGGGCCAACAACCTCTTCTCTTCTCATTCTGTACTGGTTTGCCGAAAGCTATGAATCCCTTCGAATATTATCTATGTACCAATAATGCCCAAACTTTTACATGCAGTCTTGACCTCTGTTCTGGGCTCCAAGCCCACATATCTACTTGTCCACTCAGCATCTCCACACGGACATCTCACTTACACAAAAATACAAACAAGCGCACAGCAAGGCCCACGACAAACTCATCACCGTCTTCTCAGACCCACTCTGCCCCCGATGGCATCAGCCTGGCTGGCTCAGGCCCACAACCAGGAGATCATCCCTGACACTCCTTCTCTCTCACTCCCCACTTGCCGTTATCGCGGAGCCCTGTAAGACAGCACCTCTTCTGCTGAAACCACTTCACTTTCCAGCACTCCCACTGCTCCTCCAGACAAGTCCCTGTCACCGATCTGTCTGCGTATCATCCCTCCCCACAACCACTGCGCCCTGCACTCGGCAGCCAGGGAGATCTTTCACACAGGCGAATCTGGTCACGTTACTCCCCCACTTAAAATCATTCTCTTAGACAAAGTCCTAAACATGCCCTGCAAGATGTGGCCCCATTAACCTCTTCAGCCACTCTCGTCCCTTGCTCACTGTGCTCCAACTACACTGCTTTCTTTCAGCGGCTCAAACATGCCATGCAAGATCCCTTCCCACTCAGGGACACCACACGTCCTAGTCCCCCGGCCCAGATCATCGTGCCAGCACAACCCCTACCCTGCACTCCAGGCGAATTCCTTTCATTCTTCGAGTCTCCATTTACATATCACTTATTCTACACATCACATCCAGGGTCAGTTTCCTCTGTTATACTCTCTAAAGGCATCCTAGATTTTTCCTTCATGGCACATATCATGATTACAATGAAATAATAATCTATTTAATGTCTCTTTTCTTAGACTGTAAGTCCCATGCAGGCAAAAAGCATTAGTCTTGTCACTGGCATATTCTCAAAGCCAAGCCCTTCTAGGGCCACTTGTTATTTAAAGGAAAATTTCTCTGAGTATGAAACAGAAATTCATAATGAACATCCCTAATTCACGAAAATGGTGACAGGTTTTTTCTGTTTATTTTTCCCCCAATTGAAAGTCTCTCATGATGTTATTAACTTTTAATTATTAATTCTCTGCTGCTGTAAGCACAGTGAATACATACACGGAGCTACCCAAGGCAGAGGCCCTTACAGACTGGCATGCCCTCTCAGGACTCTTACCTTTGGTATTTCTTTGGAGCCCAGAGCTTTGGGACCTTCCCGATTTAAGTAGCTTCGATAAGCTTGATAATTACTACGTTTCTTTTCAGAATCTTCAGGACTTACAGACTTTGGGGAGAAAGAAAGAAAATTGAACAAAGTCATGCAAAATACATATCTAGAAATAAACATTAAGTCACTCCTGTGTTTGGTTCTAAAATTAACAGTTTTAGCTATACAGGTACTCCTCAACTTACAGATGCCTGACTTACAAACATCCTGCATCAATCCTTCTCAAAACTCTCTATTCTCCTAAAGGCACATACCTTAGGGCAGATTAGGGGTATAAGCCAAGATGCCAGCTCCAAGCAAAGAAATGGAAAGAGTGTTTAGAGAGATTCATGTAAATTTTAAATTCTACTCCATGATATATCCAAGTTTATTTTAACAGAAAAATAAATTTTCCCCTAAGTAAATTTAATCACCCAAAACCATATCCTATGTTAATCCTATGGTCTCACATACCCCTAAAACACTGCCCTGTATCACTAGGGATATAAGCACTCCAGTCGGAGAATCACGGGCTTCATGTAAACAGCCAGCTCAGAGAAGGAGCCCCACATTCTAGATGCTAGCACTCTCCCTTCTGTGTTTAATCTCTCCCATTCAGTTTCTCCCAGGGAATTTTACCATGGGTATATATGTCAGAAAATCGTGGCAAAATTTTTCAAATTATATATCCCTGGACCCACATCCAAATTTCTGATTCAGAGATAATGGGATATGGCCAGAACAGGTATATTTAAGTGAAAAAACATTCTAGATAATTCTGATTTAAGAATAGCTACAAGATGGTCTCTGTTGTTTTTTCTACCTCCTGTTTTACATTATTTTTAACTTGTAAGTAACTGCAAATCCCTTCAAGAATAGGCAAAATACTTCTCTATAAAATAATTTCACCAACAGAATAATTAAGCTGGTTTGGTTATGAGTTAAATAAGCCATTATGGACTGGTCCTAGAATCCAACCCTACTTTTCAACAATGGCTCTCAAACGTTGGTGTGCCTTATAATATCGTATAAGGAGCTGATTACAATGCAGCTGCCCACACCGCATGTCCTGGGAAACCATGATTTTAACAGGCTTCACCAGAGAGTTTAATGCATATACCAACACGAGGAAATGATTCATTTATAACATTAATTCTATGAAAAAAAATCTGAATTATAAACTTATAAAATAACTTTGAAGCACACCCATTTATGAAGTCTGAATTATTTGACTGAGACCAAATGAATTATTAATAAATTGACTTTGATGTTCCCAAAACTGCTTAAGCAAAAGTTCTAAGTTATTGCTGTTCCAACTTTTAAAAACACAGTGAAGAGTAATGGTATCATTTAAAGATTTCCTTTTTTCGTAAACATAGCTTCTGTGAACTGAACATGTTTAGTGTGCCTGAAGAAAAACATTCACCTACCAGATAAGCATTTAGTGAAGAAAAATCTGAGACCAAAAAGTTAATTGTTCCTTTAAGCATATTTATGAGCACTGCCCACAAACAAAAGCATTTTGAAATCATCACCATTTCACTGTTCTGCACTAAAAAATAATGGTGATGAGCAGTTAAAATAAATGATATTCTACTTTTAATTCTAAGTGCCTAAGAGGCATGAAGGAATAGTGGTTTCTCATTATGAATCTCAAGTGATTCCAAACTGGAGATTCAGAGAGGCCACTGGTTTCTCAAACACATTTGAAAAAAAGAAAACTTTTGAAAAGCATCAATTATTTCATCATTTTTTTTCCTATGAAAATGATTTCAGTATGTCAACATTGTTATACAAGAGCAAAAAGGTATCAATTCAGAACAAATCCAAGTAACAGTAATTTTAATAATAATAGCTAAAAGTTCTATAGCACTTATTAGGTCCCAGGCACTGTTCTCAGTGGTTTTACATATTAACTCACTGGTACTATTATTAGCCCTATTTTACAAATGAGGAAACCAAAGCACAGAGAGGGGACATCATCAGACCAAGGTCACACACCTCCTCAGTGGCAGGGCTAGGATTTGAAAGTTGCTCCAGAGTCAGTGCGTGGAGTGACAATGCTATACTACTATTAATATTTTTGTCTTCACAAGACCTGAGTTCAAGGCTGGCCCTGCCACTCACTGGCTGGGTGATCTTGGAATAGTTAAATTCTTTCATCATCTTTAAAAGTTGAATAATAAAAGTAAATATTCACGGTTGTTGTGAAGATTACATGAGACACCACATGTAAAGTATTAGCACAATATCTGATACACAGTTATAATAAACATTGGCTAATTTAGCTATATTAGTAATCTATACTCTGCAATAGCTTCTAAATTTAAAATGATATCTTAAAAGTACTCTAATGACTTATGGAGTTGGAACTAAAACTTGAAAACAAACTCAGATCAACACACAGCCCCAAAATATATACAGTAGTGCCCCCTATCCACAGAGGATAACATTCCAAGGCCCCAGTAGATGTCAAAAACCACAGATGGCACTGAATGAACTCTATATATACTTACGCATACTATGTTTTTTCAATCTGATCACCGAGCCAGCCATTAAGCAACTTAACGGGTAGCATATATAACGTGGATACTCTGGACAAAGGGATGATTCACATCCTGAGTAGCGAGAGATTTCATGATGCTACTCAGAATGGTGCACAATTTAAAGCTTATTATTTCTGGAATTTTCCAAATAATATTTTCAGATCACGATTGACCATCAGTAACTGAAACCTTGGAAGGCAAAACCACAGATAAGAGGGACTACTGTACTTCTTAGAAAGCTCCTACCTCTTTTTTAGCTGGAGAACTTTTGGTCTTCTTCGGAGTTTTTGTCTCTCCTTTCAATTCAATGGCATTTTCTTTTCTTTTTAAGGTTGCAGGCTCTGTTTCTTTATAAGAGCTCTCTTTTTTTTTCGTAAGTACCAACTTAGAACTGGCTTTTGGAGAAAAGGATTCTCCTATTTTGTGAGCTGATGGTTTAGAATGTTGCTGAGATTCTTTTAAACTTTCACATTTAGTTTGCTTCTTAGGACTGTAGCTTTTTCTTTCATCTGAAAATAGTTCTGTTCTTACTAGGAAGAAAGAGAAGATCATGATTGTTGTTTTTGGAAAATGACACCCTATATCAACATTTTTTTTTTTTCATTTTTCAACTGAGTAGTCCTAGTAACACAATATATCATATGGTGATTTCAAAAATCAATATTTTAATTCTTCAGCTTATACAGCACATTTATTTTTAAAAATTAAACATATCTATACTACTTATTTTGGTATAACCGGTTCAAATTAAGAGATCTTTTTACATATATTGTAAACTATACCTATAGATATGGACTTCATTCCAGAGATATATGCTGAAATTTACAGAAGTTACTCACTAGAGTATGTCACATGAAAATTTTGTATTTGAAATATAGCATAAAGACCCAATATCCTGAGGTGTCAAGACCATCTGTTTATAGTAAACTTATAAACAGATCTATTTACAGGATGAAAACCATCTATATTAGCAGGTGGTTTGATACCAGGACCACTAAAGAATAAAACCTACAGACAATCAGTAGAAGAGTTCCAGATGATCTGGCCAGCTATGAGTCAACTCTATGAAAACTATCCATAACATGAAAAGCTCAAAACATCTAGTTCTTTGTTTTCATATGTTGAAGTCTACACGATGCATTAGACTTGGAAATTAACAAGAAGCCAAGAAGTGTTAGTACATTTCTCACAACAATCTCAGAGCAGATGGGCATTCTGCACTAGCTAGTATCCAAACAGCTCTCAAAATACATAAGTAGAACATGCTCTAATACTCCTATGAAATAATGTTACCTAACAATTATTAAACAGAATGTTTAAACAAGGTTCTTATGAATTTTATTCTATAAAGACAAGTGCTCCATCTTACTTTTTTCTGCTAGTATTACCTGTGTGAGGAAATGTATGTTTTTCTGCTTTACTTAAATTGCCTTGGACAGATGAAAACGTTTTTCCCTCTTCTGTGTTCTTTCGAGCCTAAACAAATTTTAAAAGTGTCAAATGTGACAAATAAAAGAAAAATTATTTCCACAAAATCTGTTGTTAAAATCAATTAAAGTTTTAACTTTAAGGATCACCTTCCAAACTAGCAGGACACTACAATATATTGTCATTTATTCATCCACAAAATTTCCACAGCAAATGAAGCATGTTTTATTACTTCATTTTACAGGTGAAGAAACAAATGAAAGGGTATAAAAACAATCTATAAAAAATTATCCCAGTTCATCCCAAACTGTGAATCTGGAAGTAGAAGCCTTATTTCTGCTTGTTTCATCTCAACTTTCAAATTATTAGTATTATACAGTTAAAAACCAAAATCTAAACTAAAACGACTAAAATGAAAACAGACTAAAGCTCAAAAGGAAAATAAGAGAGCACTTTTTCAAAAGAGAAAAAAAGTATCTATTTTCTCCACTGTTCCCTCAAAATTCCACTGTCTAAAAAGGTCACAAATCAGGGCATTTATATTTTTAAAATAATTATAATTTGAGTTTCTTTAAAAAGAGTGAGTGTTTAAAAATGACAACGTCCCCTCCTCTCTCTACTGTCTTACACCTGCCTGCTTAGTCTTAGCTCCTGACAGTATCTAAGTTTACAACTCCTTGCTTTAAAGGAAAGTAAAATCTTCTAAAATAGTCAGATATTGCTGGGCATGGTGGCTTACACCTGTAATCCCAGAACTTTGGGAGGCTGAGGTGAGAGGATCACTTGAGGCCAGGAGTTCAAGACTAGCCTGGGCAACACAGCGAGACCCCCATCTCCACAAAAAAAAAAAAGAAAAAATTAAAAAAAATTAGCAGGGTGTGGTGGCATGTGCCTGTAATCCTAGCTAATTGGGAAGCTGAGGCAGGTGGATTGCTTGAGCCCAGGAGTTCCAGGTAACAGTGAGCTATGACTGAGCCATTGCACTCGAGAATAAGACGCTGTCTCTAAAAAATAAAATAAAATAGTCAGATATTTATACTGACAATTATATTAACAGAAATGTGACTTATTAGAAATAATGCTAATTTATTAGAGATCGAGTGTTTAAAAAAAATTCATGGTACTTTTACAGATTTCCAAAAATACACTCATTATTACTTGAGACTGTCCTGATATAATATAGATCTTAAAGTTAGCTAATTAGAAATAGCAAAATTGTGCTTCCTGAAAAGACAGTAATCAATATTAATGTTATTAAACTTGTGTTCAAGAGGAATTTTTATAAGCATTAGTGTCTGAACAAGTACATAAGAACCCTTGTGATAAACAGTAAGGAAAATGGGCCAGGCGCAGTGGCTCGCGCCTGTAATCCTAGCTCTCTGGGAGGCCAAGGCGGGCGGATTGTTTGAGCTCAGGAGTTCAAAACCAGTCTGAGCAAGAGCGAGACGCCATCTCTACTAAAATTAGAAAGAAATTAATTGGACAACTAAAAATATATAGAAAAAATTAGCCGGGCATGGTGGCGCATGCCTATAGTCCCAGCTACTCGGGAGGCTGAGGCAGGAGGATCGCTTGAGCCCAGGAGTTTGAGGTTGCTGTGAGCTAGGATGACGCCACGGCACTCTAGCCTGGGCAATACAGTGAGACTCTGTCTCAAAAAAAAAAAAAAAAAGAGTAAGGAAAATGTATAATTCGGTGTTTTGTGAAGAAAGGTTCTGGTTTGCTTTGGCTCTGTCGACTTTGTTTTACAAAGAATAAGTTTCTCAATGAGCTTTCCCAAAAACTTTTTATTAAAATAACTTAGCATTTTTCTGGAAGAGCTAGTCACGAGAGCCTAGAACGCACAAGTATGGAAAGGAACACGGATCTGTATCATATACTTGGAGTGCAAGCAGCCCAATACAATATCACCTACCTTTTTAGTCTTGGGTTCTTCATCTAACATGGCTAATGTTCTGGCAAACTCTTCATCGTCATGTAGTTGCCTCTCCAGCTGTAAAAAGTGTCAAATAGTGAGCTGTTTTTGTTCTTTTTGAAAGTGAAAGTTCCTAAATGCTTGATTTGTTATTTAGAAAAAAGTGAAAAAATATTTTCCAGAAAATAACTATGACATTTTTCCACTTAACAGTCAAGTATCACAGGTCTGTTTCACTAAGCCAAATCAGAACACACAGTTCTAGTTCTGCAGGCATGATAGATAAATTGAGCATGTTTCAAAAGTCACATATCCTACTTATAAAATTTCAAGTCTATATAGTTTTCTCTTAGTGGTCCTAATGCAACACTGACAGATCTCTTATTTCTATTTATTTTAAACTCCAGAGAGACCTTTGAAAGGAATCTCAACAGAAAAACATAACCACCTGTCTGAAAAACACAAAAAAGTGAATCTAAGAAATTAAGAAAATTGTGTAGTATTTTCTTTGCACACAATAAGCTATATACAAATGTAAAGTCACTTTTTACCATCAAGCTCCTATTTTCAAGTACTAATTCAAATGCATCTGCTCTGACTGTTGAAAATTTAAGTCAACATGTCAGAAACTTTCTGAACAGGCTAACGTAACACAGATGCTGTAGTTATGTCCCTGTTATTTCCAAATATTTTCACTTTCAGTAAAATGGAGCTCTTCCAGAAGAGAACATGTAGCAGTAGAATATATTCCTCATTATAAACTAACTGGTTTTATGCCCCCTGGTAAAATGGCCTAACGTAATATGGAACAAACATCACCCTACGTTATTCAAACAAAGGAAACGACCTGAAAATCCACAGTTAGTTAAAAGTGAGGAGAAAAAACTCTTAGAGGGATAATTAGGAAAGACATCTTCAGTCATTAACTCCCTGAAAGTCCTTCATCAGATTAATAAATTACTCAAACAAGATTCTGAAAGAAAGTGATAAAAATAGGAAAACAGGTGATTGTGACACAAAGTACCACATTCAGTTTGGAAAGGATTGGGCAACCCTCCAATATTTGGGACAGATAAGGAGAAATCAGGTCTCTAAAAATTACTCCCTAGTTTGACCTAGGCCTCTTGCACTACCTTGAGTCACGTGGATACCTGTTTGTATTTTACGTAATTATGACAAACATAAGACAGAAAAGGGCCAGGCGTAGTGGCTCACGCCTGTAATCCTAGCACTTTAAGAGGTCAAGGCAGGAGAATCGCTTGAGGTCAGGAGTTCAAGACTACCCTGAGCAAGAGGGAGACCCCGTCTCCACTACAAATAGAAAAATCAGCTGAGTATGGTGGCACACACCCGTAGTACCAGCTACTCGGGAGGCTGAGACAGGAGGATCACTTAAGCCCAGGAGTTTGGGGTTGCTGTGAGCTAAGATGGCACCACTGCAACAGAACAAGACTCCATCTCCAGGAAAAAAAAAGACCTATCATGACCTACAGGATTTGCTGCTGGCATTTCTCTGAAATCATCTCATAGCACTCTCCTTCTTAATCACTATTCTCCAGCCACACCAGTCTCCTGAACCCATAAAGCCCACTGCTACCTCAGGATGCTTGCACTTGCTGTTCCCACTGCTTAGAGGAAGTCTTCCTCCACGTGGCCAGCACCATGCCTCACTGTATCACTTCATTTGTGCCCAATGCCACATCCTCAGAAGGACCCTCCTAACTCCTCTATTTAAAATAAAACACTCATAACTCCACTTACCACCCCAAAACTATACCTTTCCTTCAGAGCACTTATAATTACTTGATATTTTCTTTCTTTTTTTCTAACTGCAGTGTCTCTAACATGAGTGCTCAGTACACACTTCTGAATGAACACGTGGGTTTACAGCTCAGGAGAGCTCTGAACTGGAAAAGGGTTCAGGGGTCGTCAGCACATGCAGAGTAACGAAAGCCACAGCAATGGGTGACACTGCTCACAGTGAAAAGAAAAGAGATATGAGCAAATTAAATAATTCTAAATATACTAAAGGAGTCTCCCATTCAAAGAACTCTAAAAGTAAATCCTGAAGTAAATAATTATCCCCCAGTCTCAATATTTATCTTTTATAGAAATTTAGATGTCTGTATATTAGATTTTAACTTATTTTACACATGACTTCCAATGAAGCTCAATTCAAAATTATACTAGAACAATCCTGATTGTTTGCCTGGTTAGACTAAACAGCAAGTCACAATAGCAAGTGATTAATGACACGTAATTGAAATGCTGATACCTCTGCATCTTCATCAAGTTGCAACTGCTTGGCAATGGCTTCATCATTTAATCCGGAATCATCTGTATTTTGTGGAGGCTGTATTTCAAAGAAAATCAAGCAAGATCAGCATAAACCTTAAGTTAAAAATAAGGTAAGCTGCTTCTTAATGACTGTAGTTTATTAAATACACCAAAGAGAGACAAGTGTATCAGTAATAGAAGCAATGCACATCAGCCAGCAAGTCAAGTTTATGAGCTACTTCCTGACCACATCCAATTTCCTAGTGAATAAATATCCTATAGACAGATAGTTCTCATTTAGTTCAACTGCTATGTTGAAGAGAAGTACTGCCCACCCAAAAAAAATAACAATCCTGTAGATTAATGTCTTGGCTTGACAAGTAGTCCAGAACATCGGCAAACCAATATGTGAGAATGATTACATTGTCCCATGGAGGCACTGATGAAATCAACAAACACTATTTGGCAGGTTTTATTTAACTCAGGAGACGACTTTCACTATAATCTATCTGTATGTTCGTTTCCTAAATGGCCAGAAAAGATGAATCCAATATTGCCCAAAGTAGAGAAGGCCAAAAGTATAGCATAGGCATGCTCTATTTATAAGGGATGTATTCATGATCTCATTTGGGAACAAACTTATTGTCTGCTTTTATCAGGTTGAGGTCAATAGTAAAATAAGTTTCCCTTCTGAGAATCTGATTTAAATTCTAAGAATTACAATTTTTTAATGGTTTAAATATTTTTCCTATGATTTAAATAATCTTTTCCCACTTTCAAGTACAAAAAATTAAATGTGTAATATTCTAACTTCCTCATCCTCTAAAATGAGGACAATATATTTTATCCATAATCACAGGAAAATTTTTATTAATAAAACACGGTGACCCACTTATAACATGCTAATTTCTCCTCTTACTAGTATCAGTGAATGGATATAAATCCTGAACATTTTTGCTTGCATTCTTGCTCACCTCTTTTCTTTTGCTTGCCACCATCTTCTTGTCTGATCTTTGGACACTTCTAGTTCCAAAATAATCAAGCACTGATGTGGGTGTAAGTTTTATTGGTGATAAAGGCTTATTCTTGGTCTTAGTGTTTTCTTCGTTCTTTTTCATATTTGATGCTCCAAGATAACTATTTGTAGATCCTCCATTCTCTTTTGATTTAGAGGCTGCCTTCTTACACATAAAGTCATCTTCTTCATCTTAAATGGAACATAACCAAGTATTTTTTTGATAAAACATCAATTCAACTATATGAAGAAAACATTTCTACCAGCTTTATAAAAAGTACACAAGAGCTCTGAGATGCTAATAATTTTTTTCCTCCTACCTCCTGAATTCAACGGTCATCCCCACATTTACCAATGCCAGGCCAATACATCATCTCCCCCAGTTACTATCCAGAGCACGTAAATATTTACTGAGAGCACCCTTTATGTATCGGGCACTGAAAATATAGCAGTGAATAAAAAATACAAAGTCCCTGTTCTCATGGAACTGGAAGTCTAGAAGAGGAAATAGATATACAAATAAACAAATGTATATTGTCAAGTTAAATGTGCTATGAAGAACTAAAACAGGGTGAAAGAATTAAAGAGTAATAAAAGATGCTTTTTAAGATAAGGTCGTCAGGGAAAACCTCTGTGATAAGCAACATCTGAACAGAGTCCTGAAAGACACATCAGGCAAGAACACTAGGACAATGAAAACTGCAAGTGCAAAAGCCTGAAAAGTGAGCGTGCTTGGAGTTCCATGTGACCGCAGCTCAAGGAAGGGGGTATGCTGGAAGTGTTCAGGTGAAAGAGGTAGGGGCCAAATCCTGTAGGACTTTCTAAGGCATAGAAAGAATTTTAGGTTTTATTATAGAATAGAATATCCACTGGAGAATTTGAGCAGAGTAGTGAGTGACCCAACTTAAGTCCTGTCCTTTGGAGAGGACACTGCAGAGGGGTAAAGGTGAACAAAGGGAGACCACTCAGGAAGCTACTGTAGTTCCAGGTGACATGCTGAAGGCTTGGACTAGGGTGATATTTACAGAAGTACTAAGCTGTCAGATTCTACCTATAGACTGAAGGTGGACTATCCAACGATATTCAAGATTTTAAACTCTTTGTTTTGTAACACTTTATCTTTCTAAAAAGTTTCCATAAAGCATATGGTTTTAAAAGTCTAAGTATTCATGACAATGCTTAGATAACTAAGAGCTCCATAAATGTACCTCAAAAGGCCCTCAATAAATTTGGTTTTTGTTTGGTTCACTGACTCACAAGAGAACCAAAACTTTTCAATTTGGCCTACTAACAAAAAAAATCCAATTAAAAAAATCTAAAGGCAACCATGAAGACTAGGTCACTGCAGAGGTGGAAGACCCACTTTATAAATGTCGTATGAAAGCCTCATATGAGTGGGTCTTACTGCTTCTCAAATACTCCCTCATCTAACTATGAACATTTGTTAAGGGCTTCATGTCCCCGGCACTGTGCTCTCCCTGGGTGGCTGCCATCTCAAACATGGAAGTACCTAAGGATGTGTAAAAACCAAAAGGACTTAGCCTTACTTTCTAATTATTATATTTATATTAAAATGAAGCTATAAACTTCACAACACACGACTCTTACAGGTTTCTAATTACTAAATGTAAAAAGTAATCCACTATTTAAAGCAAGAGTGTAGTAGATATCTCTGAGGGTACCAGTACTGTTCACTACAAGCTTGTTTTCCTTAATAACTGGCAGCTCACCCCACCTTCCAAGGGCCTCCAGTAACCACAGATACATGTAGTAGACGGTGCCATACTGTTGGCCACAACCAACTGGACCAGGAGTAGACACCTCAACAAGGTGGGGCCAACTTCATCCTCGATCAGTTTGCTGAATTAATGTGCATAATCCAAGGTGCTAAAGGCTTATTCCTACAATCAGTGAGATAGGTCAGCAGCCCCCTAATAAATTCCTCATTTTGCTTACACTAAGCTAGGATTTCTTTTTACCTACAACCAAAAGAGTTTAATTAAAGCATACTTGTTTCACTTCTCTTCAGCTATCATCAATCTACATTCAAGCTTAAATTAGAAATTCATCCATAACTCTTTCGCACATCCATGGCTTCACACACTTAACACATTTCAGTTCAACCGTATGTTAACAAGAGTCAGTAGACTAAGTTCAGTCACTCATCTGTTCTCCCTACTGCACTCCCAGTTTCTTCTCTGCTGCCTTGCCGGACGTGGAAAAAGATGCCTGATTCACCTTTGCAAATGGCTTTGCAAAGGCTAGGCAACATTATCACCATCCCACTTAAAACAGCCACATGAATCACCTGTAATAGTCCCAGTAACCACTGAGAATGTAATCTGAAACTCCTTTCCTTTTCTCTAAAGTAATAACAATCAATTATTATCATATAGAAACTCTTAACAATTTTCTATAATTGACAGCTGGTCTATTTTAAATCCCTACACTCAGGTAAGCTGTAGCATAACTAAACTAGTCACATAAAACAACAAACTATTCTTCTTAGCAAGTCAAAAAAAATTACCCAAAATATCCTTAAAAGAAATCAAAATAAGAAGAATATCACTTATATCCTGGTTTTAATAAAGAAAAGAAAAAAGGAAGGAAAGAAGGGAGGGAGGGAGGAAAGAAAGACAAGAAAAACAAGATAAGACAAACAGACTAAAATATCCTAAGTGTAGACAACCAATACATCTCCTTAGTCAGTAAGTATAAATTTAAAAGCATACCCAGTATATATAAGACTTCTAATTTTATCTCATTAAATTTTATAATGCTTATTTGCTTTAAGTTCAACACCTGTACTTCTGAGCAGGAGGGAGTTCCTTAATGGAGAAAGAACAAAATTAAACTGTTTCTGTGAAATGATAGGGCTCTACGAGTTTTTCTCCCACCTTAAAAATACCAACATTCCATTTCACTACACCTAACCATGCTTACAGGCAGTATGACAGAAAATCCCAGAACTGAGTGGGTGTGGTCAACTACTATGGAGAACAGAATGTAGTAGGGCAAAAAAAGGTAAAGAAAAAAATTGAGAGACTAATACAATGTAGGCAAGCAAAGATAGCCTCGACTGTAATAACGGCAGCAGAGACAGAGAGAAGTGAATACTGTTTATAATATGGGAAAACAAACAACCTGAATATCTATGAGTATGTTCTACCAAGCAATGGAATGCTACACAGCAACGAAAATTATAATGTATGCCCATATTTACTGGTATAAAGATATTCATATGTTTATTAAGTGACAAAAGCAGATGACATGTTTAATGATTTATCTACAGATATATACATAACTTTTAAATTCACATTCTAAAATCTGAAAAGAATAAGACATTAGCAATTTTTATGTGTGAGTAGGGGAATATGGGTAATTTTCATGTTTTCTTCACACCTTTTTCTTTTATGTATTACACCTCTCTTTTTAACTTCCATCTAGTATTTTACAACAAATTCACTACCTTCTAAAAACTCTCTGATCCCTTAGCTTTCAGAAACAGTGCTTTAGTTTCTCCCTCCTCTCCCCTCTTTTGCCTACTTCTGTTCACATTTATCAACATCTCTGCTTATTCTGTAGCTAGCTTCACACACTTCATGCTTTTTATCTAATTACTATTAATAATGGTTATCATTACTGAGTATTAAACTACATGCCAAGCACATTAAAATGCACTGTCTTTAGTCAACTAGTCCTAACTCTTCATTCAGTACACAGACCCCATTTTCCACATTCCCAACCAAAAACGAAAAAAATTGAGTAGGCTTAAATACTTCCAAAAATGATCAATGGATCAATGTTAACTCAATGTGACCCCCTTCTTTCTTTAGAGAGTAGTAATATAGTACTATTTAGGAAAGCTTTCTTATATTAAGCCAAAACACCTCCCTGTAGAATATTTTCCTTAATCCATCCTCTGAAAAGGGACAAAAAGGTTAGCCACCTTTTCCACAGTCAGCATTTGAAGACTGCCCTCATTTCTTCCTTAGCTCCTCCTTTATAAATAAAAAAACAGTTTCAAGCCACTCAACATTTAGGTACTAGGAAGATTAAATTTTTTTTAAAAGGCTAAGTGCCCAGTATAGCACCTAGCCATGTTATAGACATTCAACAAATAATAAGATAGGCGTCCAGCCCTGCAACATAGCAACTCCCTGTCTTTATGAAAAAACTTTTAAAAATTAGCTACTTGGGAGACTGAGGTGGGATCACTTGAGTCCAGGAGTTTAAGGTTACGGTGAGCTATGATCACACCACTACAGTCCAGCCTGGGCAGTAGAGCAAGACCCTGTCTCAAAACTAATAATAATAATGATGATAATTAAAAAAATAGTATTCTCTGGTGAAAACATTACTGAACCAGAAGGCCAGAAAACTAAAATTCTAACCTAACTTCAACTTGCTATTATTATTTTCATTAATTATCTAGGCTTCACTGTCCTCCTCTGCAAAGTGTTGAGGCAGATAAACTCTAAGATTTTCCCCTCTGTAATTCTGTGACTCTGTAGGTAGCCATATAGATTTTTTTAACTATTATATTCAATACTGGTGAAAATGTAATGTGTTTGTACCAATAAAAACACTAATTACAAAAGTGTAAACTAATGTGACTTTTCTAGAAAGCAATTTGGCAGAACATAACCAAAACCTTTAAGAAGTTCGTATCCTTTAACATACTAACTCTTGGAGATAATCAGAAATGCTGACAAATATTTATAGACAAATATATTCATCCCACTATTAGGAACATCAAAAGTATAAGCAACTGATATCACTGAAACTGAGAAAAGGATTATCTAACTGTGATCTAACTATACAAGGGACTCACCCAGCCTTTAAAAACTAAGCCCAAATTTCAAGGCTCAAAAAACATTATGAAAATTACAAAATTAGGCTGGCAAAAAAGCAAAACACATCACTTTCTTCTTTTATGTTAGCTCTAACATTGTAAGTATAATCTTCTGTTCATGAGCCTTCTCTACCAGTGATCTCTTTACAATAGTGGAGAGTAATAGAGCCCTTCCCTGAATATATGAATTTAAATGTAACAATGTCTTCAAGCTATAGATCAAAAAAAATGTAATATTCCTAAACACAGACATAATTTTATAAACATTTTCATAATGCCTGGGTAAAAATGTAATTACACATGGACCTCCAAGGAAAAAATATGGAAGTGTTCTACA